ATATATATATATACAGTACATGCCATATGGTGATCGAAGCAGTGATGTGGAACAAAAAATATATATACAGGTGTGTGTATATATATTTGTGTGTGTACACACAAACATGCTAAGAGAAAATAAATTTTTGACTGTTGATTGTTGCTATTTTTTTGCCATCCCCTTATGAGATACAGAATTTGCTTAAAGTACATTTGAGCATGTGTTATTTTATGTTTCTGTCAGAGGTGGAGGAAAAAAAATAGCTCGAATTTGGGGAGGTGAGGGGCTGACTTTGCAACTAATCAATTCTAAAGGGAATTGTTGGCGACAGCTCTAGTTATTAATAATGACATATGTTGCTATGAATGTAGCATCAGAGCAGATCACTCTAGGCACAACTAAGCCTGTTTACCTTCAATGCAATCATTACATTAATTGAAAGTTTGGTTATTTTTGGTTTCAGTGGCTATGCCTGGAGACTGGAGAGGGACAGGAGGACGTCGTCATAACATCGCTCATCAATGCACCTTGTCACAAGTGCAATCAATCATTTAAATATCAGGGGGAAACACAAGCTAGCTAAACAAACATGAAAATGTGAATCTCACCTCACAGCAAGCTAGAATCCATCCATCCATCCATCCATCTTCTTGATCCTTGGGGTAATTTGATGAAAGCATGCCATTGACATGTGAAGAACTACGTCACCTTTAAAATTGTACATGGAGATATGAAACAACTAATGATTTAAAAAAAAAGAAAAAGTCAAAGCCACCAGAGTCACTCTGAATAGGCATTGTTGCAGTGGACATGTAAATGTGACGTTAAAGGGCTCCGATCAGCCTCTAATGGTATTCATAGTTGCCAGGGGTCTTTTCATAGCAATATTATTGAGATCATTTTTTATTCATGACTTACCCTAAATTGTCCTTGGGAAATCTGCAGATTATGGGAGGCGGCTGACCCGTGGGTTGTGAATAAACATGAACAACAATCAAAAATAATCGGTGTTCCATTTAAAGGCAGAATTGTCTTCAGTCATATGCCACCAGGGTAGTAAGAACTGAGAAGAGGCTCAACGGAAAAATAATATCATGAGCTCGAGATGAAAATGAAAGTGGATATCCCAGTGGCGGTTCTAGATCAGTTTCACTGAGGGGGCCGGGCTGGGGCCGGGGGTTTTGATGGAGGGGCATATTCAACCCAGGGCTAAAAAGACAAATTCGAAATATTATTTGACTTTTTATTTCATCAAACTTTGAAAGCATTGGAGTCATAACATTACAGTGATGAGAAAAAAACAGGATTAGGCGGGCTAAAATATCTGCAAGCGTAACAATACGCCGAGTCCATCTGTTGAGAATATTCAAGCCAGGGGTGTATATGGTACCAGCCTGCCTTGAAGCTCCTTCTCCTGTCCCCCATCAGGGTCCTGGGAAACTGTTTTAGCCCTGGCTGCATTGGCGGGTCCTCTTTACATCTACTGATGTCTGTGGACAAAGACAAACCAAATAAATGTAAACACAAGTTCTGCATGGACACAGCATATACACTAACCCGGTACACTTAGATTGCTGAGGCACTCAGACATATACAAGTGTCTAAAATGTATTGATTGATGCTATTTATTAATTGTATTAATTATGTTTTTATTGTATTCAATAAATATAAATTAATACATTCTCAAGCCTGACCAGAGACTAAAATTGCAAATACACTGAAGCTAAATGTTTTACATGCATAGAATTATCCAAATTTTAGAAGGCAATGTCTTATATATTGTTCCTGTTAAATAAAAATTAAAATTAAAATGGGATACTAAAAAAGTTACACACGCACACGCACCCACACACAGAACAGGATAGTGTTATTTTCAGCATCACATACCTGATGGTCCAGTGCTTGTGGAAGCGCAAATATCCTCTGTCTGTGTCTCACACTCCACTTCTATTGCAGTCTCATCTTCCTAATTCTCAGGATCTTCATTTGTATCCCTTTCCTGCTCTGAGTCCTCGCTCTGAAAATAAAGCCCGTGTCCTCTGTCTCTCCCTCTCTGGTGCTTTCAACTTGCTCCTCTTCAAATCTCTCACCACTATCATCATCTGACTCTCTCTCTGTGTCTGGATTAATGTGTTTCTTTTTCATATAGAAATATAATGTAATGTCAGTTTTCTTTTCATTTTTAACGTTAAATGTTTAACTGAAGAGGAATTAGACTTAATAATGCTACTGTTGGGGGCTTGTTTCGTTTTGTGATTTTACATTGAAAATATAAATCATGTCGAAAATAGCACTCGTGTCGTGGTAATCTGCTTCTCTGCGGACTGCTTCTCATTTTCCCGCTCAATTTTGAGTGGTGCAGCACACTAAAGGGTCCGACTAGAATGTTAAGCCACGCACTTTGGTTCCACCTTTCGCGTCTGCAACTCTGGGCCACTGCGTATTCTACGTTCGGAGGGGGGGCCACAGGGGGGGCCAGAATCAGTGCTACAGGGGCACTGGCCCCCGTTGGCCCCCCCCCAGAACCGCCACTGGGATATCCTCTTATTTTTTTCCCTCCAATTGTAAGTCATTTTTGAGTTCATATAAAATAGAACAAGTCCAGTAACTTGCATCATAGACAAACTCATGCTCACAATTACATCAGCAAAAAATTGTCTCATTGTAAATGAATTAAATACATCCAGAAATGGGTTAATCCAATTCAGTATTCCAGAGATAGCCAATCTGTGTTTAAATAGAGATGATCAGTTTTGGACCACAACGCATCAACTGCATAAAATAGGCATTCAATTACTGTACTCTCACACTGACTGTCATAAGCATGTTACATCTGTGGCCCACTTCTTTCAGTCTAAAAGCACGTCGTCAAAAGTGGCACAGTGTTTGGAATGATGAGGGTTCAGGTGCTTCAATTTAGGCCGGCCCCTGTGGCCTCCTTGAACATTCTACCGCTGGGTGTTATTGAATAAGAGCTACAGATGTGGCTTTGAAAAACACTTTGGAAATATACAAGATCTCATTTGGAAACATCTTTTCAGTAAACTTTAAATATCTTCATCATCCTTGGATGACAAATTGTTTTGCTAATAAATTATATCGGATTTATTGTTATATTGTTTTGCAAAGACCAAAACATTCATGATTTTCCACATTGAAATTAATATTGTATTGTACTAGTCCGACTTGGCAACGGCCGACTGGATCTCAATTGATACCCTGAAACGCATTTTTTGTTGTAAAAGACCATGATATGACATGTCATTTTGGATTGGCCCTTACTTCTGCAACGTTATGACATTTCACCCTCAAAATGTCTTGTCATGTCGAGGTGTTTGAATACCAGGTCCAAAGTCATGGTAAGTCATTCAGATTTTTATTTTTTTTTTTTGGGAACTATGATGAAGGATAGCTTGTGCACCTGGCCTTTGTGCGTCACATTCACGATGCATTTTCCCTTCTTCGGTATGTCTGCACCTGCATAAGCTGTGACTTTCACGATTGCTCTTTGTATTTTTGGTCTAGGTCTTATTTTCATGAAATCGGTCTCTGACATCACATTCACATTGGCTCCAGTATCCAATTTGAATTTCAGATGTATGTCGTTCACCTTCAGTGTAGTGATCCAATCTTTTTCTCCTCTTTCATCTTTTAATGCATCCACATAAAGGTCTTCTGCTTCATAATAATCATCGACTGCATCTACCTTGCCCTTTTGTGCTTGGTTCCTGCAGCAACGAGCATAATGATTAGCTTTGTGGCAGTTGTTGCATTTTTTTCCATATGCTGGACACTGCTTCGGAGGATGTTGCGTACCACAACGAGTACAAGATTTTTGATCGGACTTCCTATTTTTGTGTGGTTGTTGCACTCCTTTCTTCATACCAGTGGTCTTGTCTTTGTAGAATCTGTGTGCATCTTTTTCCACTGCATCCACATTGCAGCTAGCCTCATTCAGTAGCTCTTTAGCCTGTGATTTCACGGTCTCAGCGGCTCTACACAGTGCCAAAGCTTTCTCCAGGTCTAGATCTGATTCTCTGAGAAGCCTCTCTCTCAGACCATTATCTGTGATGCCACACACAATTTTGTCTTTGATCAGTGATTCCGTTAATCCACCAAACTCACATGTCTTTGATCTGTTTCTCAGTTCATTTACATATTGGTCAATAGTTCCTCCAACTATCTGTACACATGTGAAGAATCTGTGCCTTTCAAACGTCACGTTGCGTTCAAACTTTTCCATTATTTTTGAAAGCTTCATATTGTCATCCTCAGCATCAAATGTGAAGTTATTGTAGACTTCTAGAGCTTCATCTCCCACGACGTGCAAAAACACAGATGCTTTCATTTTAGCACTCCTTTCATCAGCTCCAATCGCAGACAAATACAGTTCAAAACGTTGCTTGAATCTCTTCCAGTTTTCAGCCACGTTACCTGTTAGCTGCAGAGCTGTGGGCGGACGTAAAGCTTCCATCTTGCTTTGTTCAAAGGGGGTTTTGTTCAACGCCGTATTCCTCGCTTTCTTTTTCCTCCGTGGAATCTGCCGTTCCAAGTCCTTTTAACGTCCTCTTGTCCTCCAGATCACTTCTGACACCATGTTACTTTTCGTGGTTCGTTTAATAAACGATTCCTGGTAAGAGTAGAGGTTCTTTATTTGGACTGCCGTCTTGGTCAGAGGGAGAAAGCAATCACCATGTGTACATCTCGTAGACTCTCGTGCGACTGACGAATCGCTGCACA